CACATACACAAACATGAAATCCTCAGAGCTTACAAAAAGTTTTTTTTTTCTAACTTGCTGAAACTACAAGCAACACCATCAGCGAACCATCAACCACATACTGTTTGCTGCAAACACAGCAAAAGATACGTCCCTGTGGGTTTTTCTCACAGTAGATAGTTTGACTCGGTGTAGAAAAAAATAACAGCATTTCATTAGGATCCTGTGAGAGTTCTGAGTCCTGGGCTTGGCTCATAAAGACGGTACATCTAGACTGAAGCTATCCTAAAAACAAAAGTATATTCAAAGTTCAGCAGCGGTGATTTACGGTCGTTTTTGGTTGAAATGTTCTTTTGTTGCGTCTCTGTGTTCTGACCCACCTTCATGTTGGATAGAACAGTGTGTAGGAGACTTTTAAAAGGTATTACTCCTTAATGCTTCATAAAAACTAATTTCTTACATTCATCCTTGGCAAAAAAAAAACAAAAAAAAAACGGTCTGCTGTCATGGAAATGGAGCTCACATTATAACATTTATGTTCTTGATAACCCTTGTTGCTGCTCTGATCATTTAGACCACTTAGCAGAGCAGCCAAMGTCTAGAATAAAGAGACACTTTTCAGTAAATCGCTTAATGTTGATGTGGTCAAATTATGCTTTTTTTGTATATATTTTTACAATGCTTTAATAAACAGATTAACAGACGTAATAATGTGATTATTACTAGAATATTACACTAATAAACCAATTAATAACAGAGGTAATAAAGTGATTATTACTAGAATATTACACTAATAAACACATTAAGAACAGAGGTAATAAATGATTATTACTAGAATATTACACTAATAAACACATTATTACCTGGCTTATTGAATAGATTTATACCAGAGGTAATAAAATGATTATTACTAGAATATTACACAGGTACAAATGTGGTCTTACCTCTGCGCTCAGTAGTAATCACCAGGGCTYCCTGAGGCTCACCCCAGCCCACGGCAGTGCGAGCGGTGAGGCGGAACCTGTAGGACTGTTCAGAGGAGAGTCCGGTGACGGTAAACTGGCGAGCGTTGGAGCCCACTTCCACTGTAGTCCATCGCTGGGGGTCCCTGCTGTCGAGACGGTAGGATATTTGGTAGCCTGGCGAGAAACAGGAGAAAAGACAGAAGGTACAATGGAGATGATGGGAATGTGTGAGAAATGTTTACATCTAAACATGTTCCTTCATGGTTCTCAACACTCAAAGATGTGTCTCCTTCTGTTCACTCTACTCACATATGATTGCTCTGCAAGTTACCCAGGAAATCATATTGAGACGTTGGCAGATGACATAGCTGTTCTCAGTGAGAGAGCATTCTGACATGTTGTACYACAGGCTGGTATAGAATCTGAACTGCAAAGAGTGACTAAATCAGCTCAAAATTAAATCCCTTCACTAGAGGACATTTACACCAGTAAATTTAGGACCAGAGCAACAACCATTATGGTGAACCCCACCCATCCAGCTTGTGAACTGTTCACCCCATCCCTCCCTTAGGCAGAAGGTTGTGCAGCTTCAAAGCCCAGACAACAAGGCTGAGGACTCTTCTTCCCTGAGGCTGGGAGACTCATGAACTCAGTCCCTAAGCTGCCATGTGGACWTTTATTTTTTTTAACTTTTATGTTGTTTATTTGTTATTTTAAACTAGACTGAAGAACATGTTTCAGTTTCCATTGTTTCAGACATGGCGAACAACAATAAATCTGATTTTGTGTGCACTGTGTCCCATTAATACACTTTCAAACTTGAGAAGATCTGACACATGTGACCTCTGTCCTAAATAAAGTTAGAGTTTTTGACGGTGAAYTCCAGGCTCCCATACTTACATTTTCTTTTACTGACATAACATAAACATACAACCTCTCTTGTGCAACCTTGGCAGTGACCCATGATATACACGGCTTGTGTCTGTTTCTCTGTCTCATGTGCAGCAGGCCATGTAATAACACCAACATCCTTCAACACATACACGAGCCACTGATCCCCATCCGAGCTTTGCACAGGCCACTGGCCACTCACAAAGACTTATATTACAAGCATTGTGTTGAACACCAAAAACGCACACTCCCATATAGCCCCCGTGTGTCTAGAAACAGGTAGAAAACACACAACAAAGATCATGTGATTAGGTTTTACTGAGAATGTTGGAATAATACTTTGCTCAGAGGCACCTAATCTGGTTGTGGGAGTGATAATCCCATCAGATAGTCTGATTGTATGTTATTGTGAATTTTGCGTGTGGAACGTATATAAGAAAACATCTAGATCACAAATGGCATCTAAACAATTGGGTCGAGACTCATCATTTTTTTGTGCAAATTGTTGCTGCTGCTGAGGCTAAATCTAGGTTAAGAACAAGATCACATATTGAGCTTCATATTGCTTTCAACCATAATGCTGCACTGTGCTGTATGTATTTATATATTTGTTGATCGTAGTTCTTAATAAATCCATGTAAGTAAATGAATGTAAGACTACTTTATAACTGTGGGCTGCAAAATGATGTGTAACATTAATGGCCTCATCATTTCGCTAAACCGATGACCTTTCAAATACTGTTTATGCTTTTCACTGTTCATTCAGTCATGCCTGTCAACCAGTATGCTCCATATTTACCTTTCATATGGGATTTAACAGGACATCCAGTGAGGTATTGTATAAACATTATTATTCAAGGCGATGTTATGCTTTTAAATTTTTCCTTTTCACATTTAAATCATTCATTTGGGGTCTATATAAAGTGGAACTGCTAACCTTTGRTCTGAATCCCTCCTTATTTTAACTTTATAATCCCCTGTTTCACCCATTTCCGGAGGTCTGTCTCAGATCAACTCGTTGTGAGGCTGTCTCTTGGACAGCAAACGAGGCGCTCCACCTTCCAGAGTGGTTTATTCCAGTTTGATAGCAAAGATACGACTATATAATGGTGTAGAAACTTTTAATTTACAAATTAATTAAAAGATGTCAATTCAGCCTTACATGTTGGAGCCNCAAAGATCATGTGATTAGGTTTTACTGAGAATGTTGGAATAATACTTTGCTCAGAGGCACCTAATCTGGTTGTGGGAGTGATAATCCCATCAGATAGTCTGATTGTATGTTATTGTGAATTTTGCGTGTGGAACGTATATAAGAAAACATCTAGATCACAAATGGCATCTAAACAATTGGGTCGAGACTCATCATTTTTTTGTGCAAATTGTTGCTGCTGCTGAGGCTAAATCTAGGTTAAGAACAAGATCACATATTGAGCTTCATATTGCTTTCAACCATAATGCTGCACTGTGCTGTATGTATTTATATATTTGTTGATCGTAGTTCTTAATAAATCCATGTAAGTAAATGAATGTAAGACTACTTTATAACTGTGGGCTGCAAAATGATGTGTAACATTAATGGCCTCATCATTTCGCTAAACAGATGACCTTTCAAATATTGTTTATGCTTTTCACTGTTCATTCAGTCATGCCTGTCAACCAGTATGCTCCATATTTACCTTTCATATGGGATTTAACAGGACATCCAGTGAGGTATTGTATAAACATTATTATTCAAGGCGATGTTATGCTTTTAAATTTTTCCTTTTCACATTTAAATCATTCATTTGGGGTCTATATAAAGTGGAACTGCTAACCTTTGGTCTGAATCCCTCCTTATTTTAACTTTATAATCCCCTGTTTCACCCATTTCCGGAGGTCTGTCTCAGATCAACTCGTTGTGAGGCTGTCTCTTGGACAGCAAACGAGGCGCTCCACCTTCCAGAGTGGTTTATTCCAGTTTGATAGCAAAGATACGACTATATAATGGTGTAGAAACTTTTAATTTACAAATTAATTAAAAGATGTCAATTCAGCCTTACATGTTGGAGCCACAGTCTGACCCAGAGCCAGAAGAGATCATGATAACAATCAAATTGTACTTCGTAAGTCCAGATATGTCTGTTCAGTCACAAATATAGTTCAAAAAACGTCWTAGAAAAAAGAGAAAACTGAAGAAATGGAGAAATATGACCCTGAAAGAAAATAAAGACATATACACAGCACTGGGAAAAACTAAATTAAACCTTTCTGCCCTCATAGAGACTCCAAGCACACAACTAAATGTATTTAGTTGCTAAAAAAAGTGGATTTTGGATGATATGTCCATGATGAGTCCACTTTTTAAAATCTTATTTATGTTTTCTTTCTTCTTCTGCTACCTTTCATTTGATTTGTATTGTTTTGCTGTATGTAAATGYGTTTTGTTTTTGTTTTAAATGAAATGAGTAAATTTGATAATACATTTGCTCACCAGATCAAGCTTGCTCAATAATAATTTATGTTACTTGTGGTGTTTGTATAAAACCAGCAAAGAAGCTGCTGAAAATCCAAACTTTTCAATCTAATAAGGCCCTGACACACTAGACAACTTATGACAACATTTTTTATGTCTAAATTGCTAATAAAAGTTATATATTTGATCAATTTGTTTGATTTACATTATGCAAACGCCAAAAAAGAAGCTTCCTGTTGATTTTTTCGATTCTTTCAATGTAGATGTCTTTAAAATTTTTTACAAGTTGGCACAAGTTGTCTAGTGTGACACGGCCTTTAGCTTAAGTTCAGGAGAAAGTTCACACTTTCCCACACCTTTAGTCACCTGGACATCATGAATATAGACTTTAGTAAAAATGCTCCACAATGTCCAGTTATATTTGTCCACGCAGTATAATTTACTCAATACATTCCTCATTGCTTTCATTTCTTACTTCATATCCACCAACACACACTTATCCTTCTAGGAGGTCCTAAGYTGGCCAGCATGTTTGCCCACCGTGACAGTCCCTCCTCTCTGAGTCTCTTTTCTCTCTAACCACCCATCACGAGACTCCCCAGACAAGACTCAACCTTCAGATCGACTCAGCCTCTCATCCTCACGTTAACTYTGAACAAACCTGTAAACCCACTTTGACGCGGTGTGGTCCCCCGGCTTGTGAAGTCTGAGTGGAATAAACACAGTCATACTTGTGAGGGCTTTAAGGGCTCTGCCGTCCTACAGGTGCTATCAGCTCAAAAAGAGACATAATCTTTTAATTCACTCGAGGATGCAGCTGTCWCCGGTATTTATTAGACGGAAACACGAACAACTCTGAAAGCCTCTGTGGTGGTACGGATTTTGGATGTTTGTTTTGACACAAATATCTATTTCATTTAAGAAATTGTGCTGCAGCGTGTTAAACCGACCACATTTAGTGGAAGTAATGAAAGAATATTGATATGGAGTCAGACGGAGGTGCTGCCACTAATTATCATGGGTAAAAGCAGGGGGG